AGTGTGTTAGCCACTGAGCCACCATGTCCCCCTTGCTATTACTTTTATATTTTTATATAAATATTTTATATCATTATTCAGCTTTATGTAGCAAGAATATTTTTTTAGACTTTGTATTTGTTTTTAGTGTTAGCTGCTTGTGAAATTTGTTGAACCAAAAACTTAGCCAGCAACAAGTAGAATTATACTTTAAATCTTGTCCTATGCAAAAACTTGTAGATCACCCACACTAGCTGGCAGTAACTGTCCAAGCGTTCATATAAAGACCTTTCCCACACCTGCTACTCAATCCCCTTTTTAATGTTTATAGAGGTATTAATAAAACACCATGTAAAAGGAAAGTAAAGGGCAAAATATGATATATTCCATAAATCTGTGCAACTAGCATAGAGAGAATACAGGTAGTCCTCAACTTACGATCATAACTCAGCCCAAAATTTCTGGTGCTAAGATATTTAAGTAAATGTTGCCCCATTTTATGACCGTTCTTGCCACTGCTCTTAAGTGAATCACGGAGGTAAAGTATTTGCCAAGCATCTGAATATTGATCATGTGACCATGGGGATGATTCCAACAATCATAAGTGTGAAAACCGGTTGTAAATCACTTTTTTTCCAGTGTTTTAAATTTGAATGGTCACTAAATGAATTGTTGTAAGTCAAGGACTACTGTATTGACAGGTGACTGTAGGATAACACAGCATAGCCTATTTCAATGTCTCATAGACCCCCTAAGTACAATACAGGAGGCTAATGTACTAATTTGGAAATGGACAATTTAAGATCCAATCTCTGCACAACAGTGAAGTTTGGTTCATTGTTCTGTGAGATTAACTGACCTCATAATGGTAGTTCTCTAAAAAAAAAAAGCAGTTTATAAATTGAGAACTAACCTTGGAAACATGCCATTCCTCTCTAATTCATGCTCTTCTGGCATAAATACAGTACATTTTCCCTTCACTTAACCTAAGAATTGTCTTGCTGTAAATTCCACCTAATCCAATAGCATTCTCTTCAGACTACCAGTCAGTCAGAAAAGAATGGGCCATTCTCATAAGAAGTTTGTTTAACTAAGCCTAAGATACTTAGTTTAGGGCTGTTTAGTTTAATTGTGGACAGGTGCACAGAAAAATACCTTCTCCTTACATTGTCCATTCAGCTATTTATAAAAAATATATACCAGTAAAATAAACTGGGTACTTAGTCTGAAATTGTATGCATATCTACAAGCAGTCGTGTTCTGCTCCTGAGGTAAAATTGCCTCCCACATTACTTGATGGAATTAAATAGAAGAATCATATTGTCTCTTGATGGTTTAGAATAATTTCTGTGGATTAATTGACTAAAACCTCTAGTAATGTGTTTACCGAATTCGTAATGAAATGCTTTTCTATTCAAAATGACTATTTCATGTCCCTTACCAAGACTTGCAGTTAAAATTACAGGCATGGAATCCATCCCATTCTCTGATCCAGAAGTCTCTCTTGCTGAATGCCATGAAGAGTGATGTTCTGTTGTGCTCGGAGCAGTAGAGCACATGCAACACGCCATGCTTGTGTTTATTAGAGTCAGGCTGAAGAGGTTATATTTGAATTTATGACTGGATTAGCTTTCCTCCTTGCCTACAAATGAATTCAGGGTTCATTTTCTGAATGATCACATCTGTTTATATTCCGCAGACACCTGCATATCTTGAGATGACAGCATCTGCTTGAACGCTGTAATCAGTTATTTCTCAACAGAGGAATTGCCAATTTGGTAAATAAAGCTCATAATATAAAGAACATGGAAAATGTTATTACGCTTGCCTAAAGGGGAAAAATATCCAAAGTAGGTAGATAAAGAAGCTTTGGCATCTTAAACTTTACAATGTAGAGCTCCTATACTGCAAATTCTGGTCAAAGGCAACCTGGCCAAAGAGACATGTTTTCAAGGAAATAGTACCTGCAAAGGGGTGTTTCTTTATTTTTGTCTCCAGGTTTATACTGTAGCTGCTTCCAGCATAGAAGAGAATTTTTTAAGATGCGAGCTGTCTCCTAGCTCCTCTGAGCAATTTTATATTTTTTTATTATTTGTATCCCACCTTCATTATTATTATATTTTATATTTTTATATTTGTATTCCACCTTTATAATTCAAAGCAGTGAATATATCCAAAACACCTTCCTCCTCCTATTTTCATCACAACAACCACCCTGGGAGGTAAATTGGGCTGAGAGAGAGACTGACTGGCCCAAAGTCACCCAGCTGACTTTCATGCCTAAGGGGAGGCTTGAATTCACTGATGTCTGCTTTCTAGCCTGGTGCTTTAACCACTAAACAGGTTCCATGGGTATCCCTCCTCTCATGCATGAAAATTCCTCTGAAATTTAAGATCAGCCAGCCTGATACTGATTTACATTTGAATTTACATGGAAACCAAATTCTTCAATAGAAGAACTGAAGCTCAGTTTTTAGGTTATTTTTTAAACTTTGAATAAAAAAAACACCGGACAATATAAAGTAAACATTAAACACTCTTTATTGTTTTATTTGAATGCCTTGCCCATGGTTAGTCATACATATATACATACAGACTTTATTTTCTAGATATGTAATTAATTAAAAACAAAAGATGCAAACTGAAATATTGGCTAACAGTAACATTGAACATTTGGCAAACTTTTGGTTTCTGTATTTTTCAGTGGAAGCTTTTGCTTAATATTCCATATTAGAAACAATATTTGCCTGCAGCACTCCTTTTCATGAAAGGGTGTCAGAGGAAGGATTGTTGGCAACATACTTTTCAAGAGCATAGCTTTGCCCAAACCCATTTGGCCCTTAATTCCGAATTCAACCATTGCAACTGACCCGTAGAGGCATCTGTGCAAGGACACAAGGTGCTTTTGTGTGCACTGCTAAAGGTAGAAGGCACTCACTGACAGCAGCAGGAAACCGAAAAGATGCTGGCCGCTGAAGAACTTCTGCTGTCTTCACCTGTTTTAGCAGTTGGATTTTAATCAAAGTGGACCAACAATTCCTGAGAGGGGGAGAACAAAAAGAAAGAGAGAGAGTAAGTGTCTTTCCGGTAATTGGATTGGAATGCAGTAAAATATCTTGAAAACAAACGTTCTTACAATTTGTTTTGCATTGGAAAATTCCCCTGAAATCATGGAACAATACTATATTGAGATGGTGTTTGCTATTATTGCATCAATATCAACAGTCTCCTATGGAAATTTTAGTTTAATATCTGAATGAAACTGCTAGTATAAAGCTACCAGTTTGGGGTGAGGTCAATCAATCAGAATAGAGCTGGAAGGGACCTTCGAGGTCATCTAGTGCAGTCCCCTGCTCAAGAAGGAGACTTTATACCGAATTCGAGGCCCATGGGCTGGATGCGTCACGTGCTGGCTCCGCCCCCGCCCAGTTTAACAAAGGGGAAAAAGGTTCTGATACGTTACGTAACGATGCAAGTTTGACACCCCTGTTCTATATCATTTCAACAAGTGATTGTCCAGGCTCTTCTTAAAAACCTCCAGTGATGAAGCACCCACAACTTCTGAAGTTCCACTAATTCCACTAGTTAATTGACCTTACTGTTAGGAAGTTTCTCTTCACTCCCAGGTTGCTGAATTCCAAATTACCAAGACAGGGCATGATCAGGGTGCCATACTCTGGGAAGTGAAGGCAGTATGGAATAGAAGACAGGCCTTTTCTGTTGTGGTCCCAGTATTATGGAGCAACTTACCCACAGAGACAGGTTTGGATCCTTCCTTCTTGGGGAGGGGGAGGGGAGAGCATGACTATCTTTAGTGTTTTGATTTTTTAAAATTATTAGGTTCGTATTTTAAGACAGCTGTTTTATATTATTATAAAACACCCAGAATAATCAGATGGGATGGTATCATATCAATTAATTAATTAGAATTCTTCATTCTGTTGGAAAGGTGATTCATCAATTATAATTTCTTTTCATTTATGGAATGGATACGAAAGTCTTGAGCAAAACACTATGAAAGAAGACTGACAGCATATACCTCAGTGGTGTGTAGGGTTTTTTTTAATACTAAAACTATAGCAGTGATTGGCCCCCGAGGTTGAATACATACCGTACATTTCATTATCTGCTAATATTTGAACAAGCTCCTCTCTCTCTCTCTCTCCCTCTCCCTCTTTCTCTCTCTCTCTCACACACACACTTAAGCAGAGTAAGTGAAAGGCCAAGCAACACAGGCTTCACCCCAGTAATCAAGGACACTAAGCAAGTTGTTGGGTGAAGGAAAGAAATCATAATCTGCCCCTCTCTTATCCTAATCTACACATATTGCTCCTATCAGAGAATCTCTTTCTATAACCTACTTTTTTATAATCTGGTTTTGGATTTGCTAAATAAGAAATACTATATAAATGATTTAAACAAAGGCTATTTTAGAATAAACAGGAAGTTCTTTATTATATCTCCAAGTAAATCAGCCCACTTAATATATTGTTTCTCTTTTAATCCAATCAAAGTGAGTCCCTTGCAGCTCAATGATCATGTTTCTGAGATTCACATTAAGAGGAGAAAGGAAATGAAGAGTTTGCAAGATCAGCAGCCAGCTAGAAAGGTTTCGGTCAATGAAGTGGAAAGGATAGACTTCTATGGAGATATAACAAAGACACAACCCAGAATCTGGTCATTCCATATTGACAAATGGTTATGATGTTTGACCTCTAGTTGTATCCTCAGGGAAATTCACTTTGGAAGTTCTAGAAGCTAGCAGAAAGAGTGCCACATTGTAAGGTTACATTCTTCACAGATTCAAAACTGGAGAAGCTCCAGAAGCTATTCTAATATTCAATTTAAGCATTTTGCTGAATTTGTAAAGCGTTAAGATGCTCATGATGTTCATTTTAAAAATATGGGAGTGTTGATTCTCCTCATAAGATGTTGTCTCTTAAATCTGCACCAACAATCTGTGTTCTGCTATTTTCAGAAACTTAGGAAAATAATATCAATTGGTATATTTCAACAAACACAACTCCTCAAGCTGAAAACTGTCTGCATGAATCTGGTGACGGGAGTTGTTGAAGTTTATATGCCAATTAGATTATCTTATTGGCATTAGTTTAACAAAAACAAAACTGCATCATAAACAAATTCTAGTCCTTAAAGAAGACCAAAATCAGGGCCAGCCACTGGCTTCCTAATCTGTAGCTCATTTCCCCAAAGGTTGCTGCAAACAAAAGCTGCAGTTGATGGCACTATCAATCAGTAGAAGCTGCACTCAACAAGACACTTGATAAAATTACTTCTGAGAACAAGTTGTGGGTGGAAGGACTAATTACTATTTCTCCCTCATCCTAAAAAAGACAAGTTGGATTCATGAAGGTTATGGAACTGACACTGATTGGAAGCCAAAATGCTTTCAGTGCTCATTAGTCACTGCCAGGTCATTTTTAGTGACGTAATCTAAGGTCCCAGCTCCATCTCTAAGCCTGAACTATTCCAATCCTGAAAACACTGGTATAAGAATCATCCAAATACAGGCAGTCCTCAACTTACAACAATTTGTTCAGTGACCATTCAAAATTACAACACTGAAAAACATGTGACTTCTGACCACTTTTCAGAGTTATGATTTTTGCAGCATCTCCATGATCAAAATTCAGATGCTTGGCAACTGGTTCACATTTATGACTGTTGCTATGTCACATGGTCAAAATATCATGTGATAATCTTTTGTGACCTTCTGACAAGCAAAGTCAATGGTGAAGCCAGCTTCACTTAACAACGGATGGCAAGGAAGCTCATAAAATGGGGCAAAACTCACTTAACAAACGTTTCACTTAAGAATAGAAATTTTGGGCTCAATTGCGAGAAATTTTGGGCTCAATTGCGATCGTAAGTAACATCCTTCCCTGACTCCAAGAACTGCGAAAACCTCATTCACTTAAATTGTAAATTTCAAAAGAACTACATTAGAAAATAGTCTCCTGCAGAACAGATATTTTAATGTAAGATGCACGGATTGTTTTGATCTTACTTTTTGACAGCCAAAACTTCCCCTACCTTTTGTACTTTATAAATGATTTTTAATCCTACGCTTTTATGTTTTTTATTATAATATATTTCACATTCATTTGAATATTTCTACAATGCCATACTGAAATTATAATACTTATAATAAATAGATTTAATCTACGTAGTAAAATGCAAGAAGATGTAATTTGTTTTCTCCTATTTCTTTGATGCTCAGTTGGACATCTCATCATGCTGGCTGTTGTTCACATTTAAATCACTATTACTTGCAAGTCTAATGTGTGTCAAGTACCAGAGGCTTCAGACAAATTCTCCAACCCCACTTTCTAAAAAATGCAAAAATGTCCCTGGCTTGCATTTATTGTCGTGCAAATCAGTATAAGGCGGCAATGCTTGATGTAGAGTACTGCAATACTATTCTCTCCATCAATTATTTGAAAATATACGTGCTGGTGCCAAATAGGAGCAGATTTTCTACAATCTATAATGTGCTTGTATGTGCATGCCTGTGTGTATTTCAGGTATCTTATCAAGCTATGCTGAAGGGCTAAATTGTTCTTCATTATTATATTTACCATGAGGAAGAAGAGAAGCATTTATGGAATTATCTGGCTCAGGTGCCAAAATATTTAATATGGGAAGCAAAATGACTTTGTTCAGTCCTCTTTAAGGAGGCTGTGTTGCCAAGGCTCATGTCCCTTCACGGCAAGGCACAAACCATGAAGCAAGAATCATAACACAACTTCAATAAACCATGTTTAATGCCAGGATTAAAAGTGAGGTGCAGAATTTGGAAACCGCAATAGGAATTTCCAGCCCTCATTTATTACTGAGTTTAATAAATCTCTTTGAACTGCTTGAATCCCTTGTTCTGAGGCCTTTGGCAGCCTGGACCGAGCTGCAGTTTATGAAGGCTCTTTTTTTAATCTCCTGGTCCTTTATGTTTAACATTCCTACCGGCTGTAACACCAAGGTGGCTTTCAATCCCTTTCAATAGCAGTAATAGCAGTAGACTTATATACCGCTTCATAGGCCTTTCAGGCCTCTCTAAGCGGTTTACAGAGAGTCAGCATATTGCCCCCAACAAT